TTCAATGCTTTTCATAAGGTCAAGGAAACAAAATCAAGGAAATAAAACCAGTAACTTAAAAAAAAAAGAAGACAAAGGGTCAAGGCTGGGCTAGCTTCCTCTAAATGCAGCTGAAATATTATACAAGCTCCTTGCAATACTATCCCTTAAAAACAGTGTGTTTATCCCTCGATTTAGGAGTCACTGGAGAAAGAGCTTTAACTAGCATTATTAGTGGATAAATGGTATCCGTTAATGGATAACGTGATTAATGTAAAAAGTGTTTCATATACAGACATTCAATTTTTATTCCTTTAAGCTTGGTATAGTAAATTTACATTCTCAAGGAGAAGCAGCAGCCCATGTGTTTGGTTCTTTACACTATTAACAGTAGCAACAGAGTAAGTTCTCTTCAGTTTTGTAACGATACTGGGAAAATATAAAGAAAGGAAAGCTAGCACGTAATTCCTTCCATTTCTCTAGTTACTCTAGAAACAAATTTAGATTTACCTTGGTGAAGAAGTATCATGTCCTTACTGAAGTCTTTCAACACCACATATAATGTTGGGTATTCAATGATCACTTTGTTCCTCAAATTATCAAGGAGACTTTTATGAGGATCCAATTCATAGTATCTAATTAATAAAAAAAAAAAAAAACCAGGAACACCCTTAGTATTCCAATTTACTTATAAATAAACTAAATACATGTATCAGAATTCATTAAAAGTGAGAATATGAACTCAGTAGTTATTTCCTCATAAGATTAGTTTAATACTAAGAAAACCAGGTTAAAGAAATACTGTTATACAGACTCTAAAGTGAAATCAAGAGTATATTACCTGTTTTGACATCAGGAAAGCTCAAGAGCAAGTCAACAATTTTCCTAACAAGTACGGAATATAGGATTTTATGTAACATCCAGGTTTAATATGTTATGAAATTGTATATAAAAGAATGACTAGAAATTCAAATTCTTCAAATTTATTTATGTCTTATTTTTTTTATTTTTTTTTTTTTGGCGAAACCGGGGATTGAACTCAGGCCCTTGCGCTTACCAGGGAAGTGCTTATTCTACTGAGCCATCTCCCCAGTCCCAGTCTTATGTTTTAAAATCAGCCAATATCTTACAATAAATGATTTCTAGTAAAGTATGGCAGCAAAATTTATAATTGACCTGAAAATATTTTTGTAACAAATCAGTTCTAATTATAACTGATTTTGAGAAATGTATAATGCTATACAATTAATTTTTGGCTTCCCTTTATTTTAAAATTTGAAATACAGAGTTTATCAGTCATAGTCTCATGATACAACCATTAAATGTGTTACAGGTAATTAGGTACAAATATTCATTAAGGTATAAAATGCCCAAGGTGTTACTTAAGTTTGAAGTGACTAAAGATGCTTCCCCACAATACTCTCTCTTGCTTTCTTTCTGGGGGCAGTGGGAGAGATAAGGGTGGCACTGCAGCTAATTGACGAGCAGGGGGGCATGGAAATACGTTGGCATGTGAGTATCACTGGGTGGCAAAGGAAAAAAGCTGAGAATACCTTCACCAGGGTAGGGCGGTTTTCTGGCCTTTTTCTATCTCTACCAAGGGTAATATCCCTTCATAAGTCATCATTCTGACAGCTCTAACTCCACAATTTTCCCTCCAGCCCAAGAAAACACACTATAATACACAGGATACTTTGGAATCGGCTCGAAGAGTAAGCCGTTCGCAAAGCTGTACTTGTTGCTAACTACTGCACCCTAACTCAGGGATGACAGGACACACCGGCTTATTAGGAAGGCTGGTGTTCTGATTTATCGGTACTCTTGGTTTACCCTACACAACAGCTGTCAAATGGGGAAGGAGAAGGGCTTACCAACATGCAAAGCCAAGCCTACTATAAAAACTAACTCGTTTTTAAAAAGTGGGTGACAGGCAAGAGAATAATTATAAAACCCCAGTATGTTATATACACTTCTCTAATCACTCATCCTATCTATGGAACTACAACATCAGAACTGAAGAATATTATGCTGGAAAAAAAAAAAAACCTGAAATGAAAAATTACTGTTTCCTAAATAGACATCCCAATGCCCATGCACCACAGAATGCATACACCATTCTTTTTCCTATGTAATATAATACAGATGTGCTTAAAATACTTTAAATGTGGTCTCAGCATTCCAGGATTAAATGCTTCTCATCTTTTAGAGAGTGTTTCCCTTTGAAGTAAGTGGTATTTAAAAAAAAAAAAAAGGTGGTAATTACACAAGAGAAAAATGAGATTATATTAAATTCTCAAGTATTAACTTACAAAGTGATATACAAAATGGTATCAATAATTTTTCTTAGTCAAAAACAAAACCTGAATTCTCAAATGGGAATTTTTCAAGTAGGATCCTACAAACACTTCCAGGAACTTACTTTCTGATTAACTGAATCTTTTTTTTAAAATGACTTTATTGTTGACACTTTAGAATGGGCTTTAAGTTTCTTTCTTTTTTGATTAACTGAATCTTAAGGCTTCTATTCAGAAACATCTTTCAAATAAGGAAGTATTTTCTGCTTATTTTAGTTTATTTTTAATTTAGTTTTTGAAATGATTTTCAGTGTATATAAATGTTTAGGTATTTAATGTCTTTTTATAGTATTAAATCTGCATTGGGTTTTGCTAATGGAAACAGTTATGAAATAACAATAATTCTTAAAAGCTGCATGGGAATCAGAAATTTTATTGTTGATATACTTTAAAATATATTCCCAGCAAAGGAATGTTCAAAGATACATAAAAATTACAAGCATGTAACAAGCTACATGTGTTTTCAACCCTGAAACTAATGACTACATTCTTCTACTTGGTACCTATTTTATGTACACTATACCAAACACTTAGGATGTAAAGATTTTTAAAAGACTTGTCAACTGAAGCATTGTTTTAATACTTTATTCAAGTGCAAGGAAAATCTAGTATGTTGTTGAGTGGTTTAGAGAGAATCACTGAATTTTATTTAGTGTTTACCCTAAAATTCTGTCCTTTCAGTCACAGCACTATCGCCACCGAGTGCCATTAAGTTTCTAAGTAATGCCTTTTAGTGTGTTCACTGAAGAGGTCAGGGTTCACTAAAGACTCTCACAGCAGAAATAGTTTCTTATATTTTTCTATAAGTGGTTACTCTTAATCTACCATTAATATTTACCAGTGATTTAAAAATGCATTATGAAAACCACTGAGTAAAAAAGGAAAAACTGCAAGGGCTGGAGATGTAACTTGGAAGCAGAATGCTTGCCTAACATGATCTAGGGCTTTGAGTTTGATTCCAGGCACTACAAAAAATAGAAAAGCTATGAAACAGGCGGTTAGCATTTAAGAACTTTGAATTTAGTTAAATAAAGCAGTAACTTTTAGTGGTTGCTTGGGTTTGGAGACTAACAGAGTTTACAAGCCCTGGCCTTGTTGTTCACTGGTGATTTTGGACAAGTTGCTTAACTTCTCTAATTCCTACCTTCCATGCTTGGAAATAACAGTATCAACTTAGAAAGCTATTATAAGGTCTAAGTGATAAAACACAGAAACTCCGAGGTCACTTATTTTAGCCACAGACACATTAGTTTTTCATGTATTTTTATCTAAAATGACAACAAAATTTTCCTGCTCCTGGGGATTGAACCAGTGGTACTCTACCCACGAGCTATATCTCTAGCTCTTTTTATTTTGAGAAAGGCTAAGCTGACTGGGCCGACCTGCAACCTGTGATCCTGCTGCTGCTGCTTCTTGAACAGCTGGGATTATAGGCCTGTGCCACCAAGCTTGCCATAACAATACACTCTTATTAACTTTAGTTTCAAAGTCACTGAATTTCTTTTTATTTTTATTTATTTTTTATTTCTTTAGTAACAATGACCAGCATTTACTACATAGGCACTGAAGCATATATTTGCCTTTATATGCATGTTAAGTATAGCCTTACAACTTTCAGCATAACTTCACACCACTTTTATCACACTTTCAAGTCTACAAGTACTTTGAATGTTTCTGTTTCCATTACCTTGAAGAAAAGTTTTAAGAGCTCAGTTTGTCTAAAGTATTGAGGCTTCTACTTCTTTGCAAGGCATTAAATCACTGCGTCTTAAGGAATAGCTTATCTTCCTGAAGTTTTTACCAACTCTGGTAATTCCATTATTAGCATGGCTTTGCTACCATAAGGCAAACTACTTAGGTTTGGAAGAATTAAGATATAAACATTTGTCTTCTCTCTTATCCTTAGGGACCCCTCAGACATTTCCTCTTGTTATTTCACTTGCTTGGGCTCACCGGCCTCAATAGCTGACCCTGTTCCAGGCAGCTTCACAAGGGCATCAGGAGGGCAGCACGGCTCAGTAGGTTAAACAGGTGTTACAGCGACTGACATTGTGTAAACAAAAGTTGCCATGATACTCAATCTTGGGTCTGTTACAAACTTTCAAAAAAAAAACTGGCCAAGTTCTCGAACTTTTTTTTCTGCACTTTATAGCAAATTCGGAAGCTTTTTTTTTTTCCTTTTAAATACTTCATAGCTCAGAAACAGACATGTTAAAAAGAGGTAAAAGGTCACAAACCATTTCCTGACTGGTGACACCTCTTGGATCATCGCCCCTTTTCACCCTCTCCCCCAATTCCCATATTAAGACTTAAAATGGAATTTTTTCAAATTTGATAATCCAGTAGCAGTCCCAAGGCCACAATATTATTTCACTACAAAATATAAGGGGACAGGGAGATGGAATAAGCACTTCCCCGGCAAGTGCAAGGGCCTGAGTTCAATCCCGTTTCGCCAAAAAAATACATACATACATAAATAAATAAAATAAAAATAAAAAGATACCAAACACTGCAAAATATGATCACTGGATGAGGTGATCACCATGATCCCACAAGCTCTAAAGCTCTTGGTTTTTTATAGTTATCTGTGAAAGGTAGGACTTAGCTTATTTACTAGTATTGTTATATTATACATAATATATATTATATATATATATTATATATAAAAAGAAAAATATCTTTTTCTTGGCGGAACTGGGGATTGAACTCAGGCCCTTGCGCTTATTCTACTGAGCTCTCTTCCCAGCCCCATTATATGTATTTTTCAATGCAGGTTTCTGGATTAAAAGTACAACTAACTGATTCACAAAATACAAAGCTAAATCTTGGCTCAAAACAGTACAGGATAAATTAAGTATACTATTTCATGACAGTTAGTTGTCTTAAAATTATGGTTTTGGGCCAGCCAGCCAGCTTAGTGGATTAAAGCGCCTGCTTAGGCAGATGCAGGGACTGGGGTTTGATCCCTGGCATGCCGTGCAGGCTCTGCCCTGGGGGTGCACTGAGAAGCCAACTGAGACTGGGTGTGGTGGTGTGTGCCAGGAATCCCAGCGCTTGGGAGGCTGAAAATAGGAGGATCACTACGAGTCCGATCTGTGTAGTAAGATCCCGTAGACCCTGTACTAAATACATTTAAAAAAAAAATTATGGTTCATTTTTGCATAATAGAAATCAGCAAAGCTCCTTTTATACACTGAGTAGTTTATTTATTTATTTTTTTTGTGTGTGGCCAGCTCAGCCCGCTTGGGGGCGGGGCTGGCTGGCATGTAATGCTGGGAGAT